AAAAAAAAAAAAAAAAAGAAAAACCAAGAAGGCTGCCATAGTCACCACACTTGTACTCTGCTGCCAGATCACTCTTTTAAATGAGGAAGAATTCTCAGATTTCTAGAGAAAGTACAAACAAACAACTCCTACCACTCATAGTCAACTTCAAGATCAGGATGGGCGGGGGGCGTTGCAGGGAGACTATGTGCAGGCTGGGGAGCCTCGTAGCCCCCTCCACCTAATCCTGCAGCCCCAGTGTGGCTTTGCTGTTGTGCTCACCTCCTCCACGACTGTAGGTCTCCGGGAGGAAATTACTACCCATATATAGGTAACTACAGATGAGAAGAAGCAAAGCCTTCCATCTGTTCCACCATGAAAGAGACACATAAAAGAACGACATTGCTATCGTTACACATTGCCCAAACCATGACATGGAAAGGGGCAAATTAAAAATAAACAGTTGGTGTCGCTCTCCGCCTTACTCTAGGAATTTCCAGGCAGTGTGCAGGTCAGATAGGTTGATAGGGAAGAGGTACATGTAGACATCCAGCAACTTAAGATTCAGGAGGTTCCAAGACCCCATTGGATTCTCAAGAGAGGAGCTGTCACCTTGGGGGGTCACCTTGAAGTTATCCACTGGTGACACCCTGGCCTTATGTATAAATCATTCAGCTTTTACTTTGTGGGGCGGATGGGTGTGGAGAGGAACGGACTTGCAGAGCACTTATCTGTGCTGCAGAAGCAGCATTAGAGCTGAGCTGCTGTACCTGTGTGCTGGTGATAAAGTGAGGTAGGCACACAAGTATTATCCTCTGGATTACTTCAGATCTTTAAGATCTTTCTTCAGAGAGACCTAACACTTTATCAAACAAGGCATGAGGAGGCTACGCTGATGGTGGACGTGACTGTGTTAGAGTGTGTCATATTCTCAGGACACGATCGTGTCTTGGAAGTTGTATGGGATCAGGTATAAAGCAGGGGCTCCACCCCACCCCGGTACCTACAGACCTCTGTTCAAATCCCAGGTCTATGTTTATGAGCTAGAATGACCCTGGATAAGTCACTTACTTTCTTTGCCTCTATTTCCCATCTGCACAGAGGAAATCCGGATGCTGACCTCACAAGAAGCCCTGGTCCAAGCCTCTAGCAGTGTCTGGTCTGATATAAGTATAGAGTCTAAGCTTAGGTCCCTTTCCCTTCTCTCTGGTTCCTTCCCCTTAAGATTCACTGCTTGAGGTTTGGTCCAGTTGCCACTTGGTGTGGTGTTTAAGACACAAACACCCAGACAGCTCCACCCTCCTCCAAGAGTGAGGATGGAGAGTAGCCCACCATCTAGCATGGGCCTCACACTTTGCTGCTCTTCAGTAGATCAGTAAATGCATGCATGAACAAGGAAGAGAATTCACCTTCTTATTTTACCATCTGACTAAGATGAAACTCCTTATAAGAGAAATGAATTTGACTCAAGTATAGAAGCAATGGAAATATCACTTTGGGCATGTTAAGACCACATGTCAAAATCATGAGTGGGAGTGGATGTTTTCCTGTGAGGTCCTGAGCATTGCCAGCCGTGTCCATCTGCCCTGCTCAGCCAGAGCTGGAAGAGGGTTCCTTTCAGTCCTGCTGCATCTTGAGGTCAGTGACATGGGAGTCATCTTTACAGACTGACAGGATCTGTTACTGTCGGACACTGTGTGTGCCCCGCAATCCCGGATGTGGCTGCAGAGATCTTCTCTCTGGGCCCCTCAGGCCGCCACCACCCGCCAGGAGGCGCTGGGTAGCATTGGTTCCACTTCTGCCGGTGATGTTGCTCATTACCCAGGTAGCTGTGTTGCAGACACAGCATTCTTCCTACTACCATAGATAGGAAAGCTGCACGGGATCTGGGTGGCCTCTAGGATATCAGGAAGAAGAGGCTGATATTGCATGAGTATCACTTAAAATGCAATGTGAATGGTTAGAATGCCTGCAGTTTGAGAAGAGTGCAGGAGAGCCGGGCTGAGCACATAACTCTGGGGGGTCCATGGGTTTGCTTTCTAGGACAGCACCCAATACATTCTTCTTAGGTGCCCCCAGCTCCTCGGTGCTCTTCCACTTTGAGCTTGAGTTCTTTCCACCATCCTGGCCCCTCCGTCAGAATGTGGACATATCCCAGCATTCACAAAGAACCAATCCTACAAACCCTAACATTGGCTCTTCCCAGTGACTGTGCAGTCCTTGGTGCAGTTGAGAATCTACAAGGGAGAGGTCGAGTAAGAATCAGGAGCCAGGTTTTACCTCAAGTGGCAGAGGAGGTGTGTGTCTGCAAGTCTGGAGGAGGGGATGAGGCAGGGCAGTCGCTGCTTCTCTCCCTGAAGGGCTGGGTGGGCTCAGTCCCAGGCTCTGCTGTGGTGGCCCCGTACAGAAACAGCTCCGCATGGCTGCCTGTGGGATTGCACACTCATCCAGGGCACCCAGCATGCCGAACCACCCAGCCTGCCTCCTCTAGCTCATCAGTTCTGTTTTGACCAAGTGTTCAGTCTCAGCTCCTGCGTGCTGAGAGTGGAGTCTTCAACCTATCTGACCTGCACACTGCCTGGAGTGTGCTTTTGCTGGAGTGCAGTCTTCCCCTCCCCTCTCTGGAGAACCAAAGTACTTTATTATTATTATTCTAATTCCAAAGGCCCTCAGATAGACATGCCTTTGCTCAAATAATAGTCAGCATCTGGAATATTGTTATTATCCCCTTCTGAGAATTGCTATCACAATATCAGGTAGTCAAAATTAAGATGTCGTATTTTGAGTGTCATCTTTTCAGGAAATTTAAATTCTTAAAGCAAAGCAATCTAGGGCAGTGTTTCCAATCTCTCTTTTTTTCATTATTGCTCCCTTAAGGAGCCTTTTTAGACATTTTTTAATTATCTCCCCATGACATTTTAATGCCACAGATATGCTGCATATTTGTTTATGTACTGTATATATATCTGTGCCTTATGCTATGCCTAAGTATGTTTTAAATATATAATTAAAATTTTTTGCCCCGGAACCAATGTTTTAGGCCCTCGGGGTGCTATCTTCTTTATGCAGAACACATGTCTAAGAGGTGAAAGTGTTTCTCCCAGGTCCAGTTTGCCCAGGACCTGACTCAGATAGTAGACAGCCTGTCTCAGACCAGGGGCCTCACCACTGGTAAGTACAGTTGCCAGATTCAGCAAACAAAATATATTGAATGCCCAGTTAAATTTGAATTTCAGATAAAAAACATAATATTTTTAGTGAAAGTATGTCTTATGTGATATTCGCACATCTTATATTCTATCTGGTAATACTACTGGTGTTCTGGGGATAGAAACTGCACTTTGTATTCAAGTACAATTTTTCACAAACTGGAAGAGTATGTACCTTCATTTACATCCACCTCCTGGGCGAAAGGATACCAGATCACTCCTAATAAAGCATTGTTTAGGGGCGCCTGGGTGGCTCAGTCAGTTAAGTGTCTGCCTTCAGCTCAGGTCATGATCCCAGGTCCTGGGATCGAGTCTCACATTGGGCTCCTTGCTCAGCGGGGAGCCTGCTTCTCCCTCTGCCCCTCCCCCTGCTTGTGCTCTCTTTCACTCTCTCTGACAAATAAATAAAATCTCTAATAAAGCTTTTTTTATATGAGCTTCTCATTTCAACAAAGGTCATTAGTAACAGTCAAAAATACGATGTGGCTCTTTTTACAATACAGCTTTTACTTTAAATTTTATGTGAAACGTGTATACTGTTATAAGTGATGAAATAGACCCGGGATGAATCTAGTGGTGCGGAGGCTTCACGCGTGTCTCTTATTGGAGGGTGTTGGAGTAAATCACAGGGGAAGGATGCTCTTGTGACAGTCCTGCTTAATGCATTGCAACAAAATGCATTCCAAATGCAGTCAGCTAGAGCACTGACCCTGAAACATGGTCATCATATACTTGCATCATGCACAAACCAAAGTGCATTATGCCTTTCCACTCCTAATTGGCGGCCCACGGAAACGGTAGACTTCGGATAAGTGTGTGTCACCTTGTCATGGATACCACAGTTGGGTGAGGCTCCGAGTCAGCACTTCTGAAGTTTGATAATAAGCAGTAAGTCTGCTCAGCTGTGTCTACAGGAAACAGAAAAGGGTGGGCGTTTGGAGAACTCTTACTAGTGGACTTAGCTCTTTCTTTTTAACTGTGGTTTAAAAAAAAAAAACCCACATGACCTAAAATTTACCATCTTAATAAGTGTACAGTTCAGGAGTGTTAAGTGGATCCACATGGGTGTGCAATAGGTCTCCAGAACTTTATCTTGCAAAACAAAGTCTTTACCCACTGGACAATTCCTCTTGTCTCCTGGCTGCCCAGCCCTTGGCAACCACTATTCTGCTTTCTGTGTCTGTGAGTGTGACTACATTCAGACCTTAAAAACATGGCTGTTTTCATGGGAAGCTGGCCTGGAAGCTGGGTGAGAAGAGCTTCCGGGCTAGAACCTCTGGGGTGGTGCTGACCTCTTATCTGGGCTACGCTACATATGTAGAGTTGTTTCAACACCATGCAAAGCTACCTCCATTGTTCTTATCTGTTTCTGCTTCTACTCCAACCTAGATGACGCCAGAGGAAGGCATCAAAAGAAAATCCGAAGCAAGACTCAGAATTACCTCAACCTGTATGCCGTGGAAGGCCTGCGCACCTTGTGCATTGCCAAGAGGGTGAGTGGGTGCCACCTCCACAAGCATGGATACTGACCGCTGCCCCCCACAGTACGTGGTGCCTACGTGGCACTCACCAGTGTGTCTCACATAGGTTCTGAGTGAAGAAGAGTATGCCTGTTGGTTGCAAAGCCACTTAGAAGCAGAATCTTCCCTGGACAACCGTGAGGAGCTTCTTTTCCAGTCTGCCATTCGCCTGGAAACAAATTTGCATCTGTTGGGTAATTATGCACATGAGCACATGTTGCACTGAGCAGTGTGGAATTTGCAGAGACAGTCCTGGACGGGGTGGTGACATGGCTCTAGTCATTGGCAGCTCTGCACCTGCCGGGCTTGGTTAAGGAGTTGGCTGGCTTGATGCTAGCATGGTCCCCAGGCCCAGCCATCCTTGACTGAACATTCACACCATGGCCCGTCTCTGTAGTATTCCACGTGCTGTCCCACCAGGCACCCAGTGACAACACCTGACTTGCCTCCCCCTAAACCCTGCTTTCCCACCAAAAATAGAGATGAGGAACGAGGCTTCTCAACAACTGAAGCTTAAAGGGACTCCCTCCACCTCCTACCCCTAAAACAAAAAGAAACTGTTGGATTCCAGAAATGGCTGCACTTTACATCTTATGAATGTTTCATAGATTCAGTTTGGATGAAAAGAAAACGAGCTCATTTTTACTAAAATGTGCTCATATTTTCTACTGTGTTCATATTAGTATTTATAAGAATATTTATTTTAATATTTTAAATATTTAATATTAAGTTTGTATTAAATTAGCTGAGTCTTTGTATCTGTGCTCTCTGACCACACCAGGAACTGAATGTGATCATGCTGGGTACACACACACACCCCATCCCGTGGTGCCAAGAGTCAGATGGTATACCTGGGGCATGGAGAAACGAATTCATCCCTCTCCATTTAATACAGAAAGGCTGTAATTCATTTGGTCTTGTTCCCTGGACAAAGGAGTTGGGCTACCTATATATCTATATATACATATCTAATATAATAATTAATATATTTAATAGCATAACATACACACTTCATACAATATTCTTTTTTGCCTCTGGTGTCTTATAGGAGGGCACGCACTGTTCAAAAAAGCCCCAAGATCCAGATGCCCAGAGACATCATGAGCAGTATCCCTGGGGGGTGATTAGATGAAACACTTGGAAGACAGCTGTGCTTTTTCTAACCTTCCAGGTTTTGATTTACTGGGACTGTTCATATCTAGAGCATGCTTCTCCAGAAGGCACTGTTGACCAGACCCAGGGGATAGGCAGGGGTTCCTGCTGGTCCTTCTGGCCCATGCGCAGGTCCACTTCTCTGTCCCTTCACTGCAGGGCACTCTTCCTGGAGAGCTCTGACTCGAATGGAGTAAAATTTGCCTCCCCAGTCCCTTCTTCCAGTGGGTGCTGGTCCCACCCTGTGGAGCAAGGCAGACAGAATCTCTTCCCTTTTCCAGAGGGTGAGACCTTAACTGTTTGAGGACTTGGCTGTGAGTCCCCACACTGTCCAACCTATATTTTTAGGCATCCCTACCTTACCTTCTTTCAGAGTCTAGGAGCCTTAGCTTGGTTATCTATCCAGTCCTGGCTCTGTCACTTACTGGCCATGAGACCCTGGGCAAGTGACTCAGTCTTTTTGGCATCCCAGTCTCCTTGTCTGCTGGGTAATAATCCTGCAGGGATGAACAGAGGGGGTGCCCAGTGGAGCACTGAGTGAGGTCCAGGCACAGGGTCCAATACTCAGCAGCACGTGGTGATGAGTCTTATGTTACTGCCTCTACATCTGTTTACAGCCTGGCTGGCCTCTTCTATACAGACCCCCTCTGGTAGTTGGGCATCCGTCACCTCCCTTGGCCCCCATGCTGTATCTCTGTTAACATGTCCTGAATTTTTGACAGCCCTAGAATACCCTAAGTTCATATTGAACTTGAGATCAACTCACCTTCCTAGATCTTTTTCAGGGGATTTGCTTTCTAGCTTGGATTCTGTAATTTTTGTTTGGGCAACTATGTAAGCATCTAAAAGTAAGGTTTTCTACTTATCCTCGTTCCAATTTTTTTTTTCTGTTGGGGCCGGGATAGTAGAGTTTTTCAGAATTTTGATTCAGCCACATTCTGCTGTCATCCTGAGTGGATGTTTATCTCCAGGGGTCTGTTAAAGGGCTCTGAGATGAATCAGTGAAGGAACTACTGGAGTGCCCACAGTGGGCACCATCAGTGTCCTTGAGTCTGCTCATGCCTGCTGGTGAGAGCCTTTTCATACATTTTCAGAAATTTTACAATCACCATTTGCTGTCTTGCATAAATTTTCAGGAATTTTGCATAGCTTTTTGATGCTGTTGGTAGCTTGACATCAGCCAAGGTGAGTATATTTGCACCACAGAAATGGGAAAATGCAGGAAATCAGCTTCCCTCCTGCTAGCTGGTTGTTAAACACTTAGCATCTCCCACAACCTGGGATATTTATGGTTCAGATGATGAGCTGGAGAATAGAAGAGCCACCACCTTCGTGTTCACCACGGCTTTATGCACAGGCACTGTGTTCCAACTCCTCAGATTCATTTTTAAGAAATGTAAAGTAAGCTGTTTATATTTTTAATAGGCCCAAAGCCAAATACTCCTCCTAAACTTTTCATTTAGGTTCTTATGTTAAATAACATCAGGGAACTACAAAGGAAGGGTCACCATTTATACTGTGTTCTTGAAATTTTCTTTTCCATACTGTTCTGGCCAAGAGCCTAAATTCAAAGGACAACATTCTGTTCACTTTCCCCAGCATTCCTTTTTGTTTTTCCAGATGTCATCTGAAACTCCCCTCTCACGAAAAGCCACCTGACATTTGATCACAGTGAAGCATGGTGGCACTAGCTTGAACCCTACTACCTACCCTGTTATAACACTCAAAATGCTAGGTTCTCCCAAGGCTCAGGCTGTAGAGAGGTGGCATGTACTCTAAGTTACATAGATTCCATTGCTAATAAGCTACCTTAAAGAGCTGAAGAAAGACCACTGTGCTTCCAGATAATTTTTAAAGGACTGTTCCCTGAGATTTACTCTTTATCCTTGGCCATATTTCGTGCTGAGATAGACATACTTTACATAATTCTCTTTATGAGTTCAGTAATATTCTATGTTTGGTTCAAAGCTTCACATAGAGGTTAGGATCAGTCCAGCGACCCAGTCGGGGCCCATTACTTAGGCCAGTTAGCTCCTGAAATGAAGATGCTTTATTTTCAAGGTGTTAGGTTTTCCCTGAAGGACTGGAATTTATCTGAGTCCTTCCCTGCTTTCTTTCTTGGAGGACATATATCAAGGAGCTCTGGCTGAGGAGCTAATATACAAAGGTGGGGAGTTGCAAGTCCCTTCTATAGTAAGTTGCCATCTAGTGAAGGGTGGGTAACTGGTTGAATTACACGCAAAGCTCTGTTCCATAGTGGAAGTTCTCCTAGAGCAGCCATATAGGGAGGTTTGGAGCATGAGACATACCGTGCATGGAATGCTATAGCCCTTCCCTTGCTAATCTCCCTCACCTTTGCTTCCCAGATCTATATGGTGGGGATAATTGTAGTACTCACATGTTAGGGATGCTGCAGAAATTTTTGCCTGACTATTAGTAATTCATCAAGGTTAGCCATCATCATGATTATTCCATAACCATTGTTATTATTAAGTATGAACAAGATATTTTTTAAAAAGAGAGCACATGCAGGAGGAGGGGCAGAGGGAGAGAGAAACTCTAACCAGACTCCATGCTGAGCACAGGGCCCCAATGTGGGGCTTGATCTCACGACCCTGAGATCATGACCTGAGCCAAAACCAAGAGTTGGACACTTAACCGACTGTGCCACCTAGATGCCCCTGAACAAGGCGTTTTGAATACATGGAGGCAGACGTGGTCATCCCTCCCTCTTTCCCTGGATATCAGGGAATGTATCACAGCAGAAGTGATACTTAGGATGCCTTTGTAGATGTCAACTCTGTTGGATGATGAAAATAGGGAGCCAGAGACCTAGAGCACGGAGTGTCTCCCCATGCTAGATCCAGGGGTCTGGGGGAGGGGAGAAAGGCCAAGACCAGATGGCCTTCCAGTGCCTGGGTTGTCAGGAATATGCTCACAATGAACATGGAACATAACATGGTTTTATTCCTAAGCATACTTTGAGACCCACACCCCTGCCTGGTCCTTACCTTGCAGACTCCATGATTCAGAGCTGAGGGCAGCTTGGGTGCAATATCTCCTCTTCCTTTCTGGGCCCTTCCCAAGTTCCCACTTAGCCTTCTGCGCATTCAAATTAAAGGTAGGCCCAGGTCCAACACACTGCACAGGCTGCGTGAGATGGAAGAGAGAAGACTGCCACTTACCCCTGAGGGGGCTTCTGGAGAGCTGGTGATGCTGTTACCTGAGCTCAGGGCTGGTTAAACAGGAGTGTGATTTGTGAAAGTGCATTGTAGGATATATTTAAGAAATGCATGCTTTTTGTACATGTATTATACCTTGACTCCATCCCCCCAGCACCTGCCAACTCATCTGTTCTAGGAGGAGAAAGGGAAGTGGTGTCTATCATAGTCATTTCAGGCTGTCATAGCAAAATACCACAGACTGGGCAGCTTAAACAGCAGACATTGATTTCTCACAGTTATGGAGGCTGGAAGTCCCATATCGAAGTGCCGGCCAATTTGGTTCCTTAAAGGGCTCTCTTCCTAGATTGCAGATGGCTGTCTTCCTTCTGTATCCTTGAATGGTGGAGGGAGATCATCTCTCTTGTGTCCCTTATTATAAGGGCCCTAACCTCAGTCATGAGTCTTCCACCTTCCCTCCTAATGCCATCACAGTGAGGGTTAGGGCTTCAACCTATGAATTATGGGGATAAGAGGACGCATTCAGCCCATATCAGCTCTCAGCACGGGGAACAGTGTGACATAAAAGAGAAGGGCAAGGCCAATGAGGTGTCCTCAGTCAATGCTGTATTTCTAGAGGGAAGATAGAGACCATCTCATTAAATTGACAATAGGAAAAAAACTGAGGCTGACCTGGAGAGCACCTTTCTGCACTGGGTGGAAAATTTGTCCCAATGTACAGAAGCCTGCATATTTATTAATATCCTAATTTATTAATACTGCTAATTTATTAATTATGTTTGTGGAAAAAGTACATTCTGGATAATGTTGCTTTCAAGAAATAATGGGCTTGTGTGGTCTGTTTAGACAGCTGACAGTAAGCATTGCTGAGAGCAAATATTGTGGATGTCGTTCAGAAGCTTTGGAGGGGATGGATAATTTTTAAAACTTTTTCATCCTTCAGAATATGGTCATTCCCACCATCTCCCCACAAGCTTTGTTTCCAAGTTATCTGTTATGTTAAAAATTAGCCGCCTGTTAGAAAGCACTGGAAGTGCTTTGTTTTAAGTACAGAGAATTATGTTCAGTGCCTCACAGTCATTCTGACTCATTCTTGACTGTGTCAATCGAGGGAGCTACTGAAAGTGTTCCCCAGGGTCCAGAAATGATGAATCTTCATCCACACGAGACAGGCATCAAGCAGGTCCCAGTCTGTGGGGTCATGCCAGCATCTTTGGTATGTTGGCAGTGGCATTCGTGCCCCATCAGGGTCTGAGGGCATGTGCAGAGGGGGCTCACCTACACTTGCACATTTGACCAGGTGCCACTGGGATTGAAGATCGCCTGCAGGATGGAGTCCCAGAAACCATTGCTAAATTGCGTCAAGCAGGCCTGCAGATTTGGGTTCTCACTGGTGACAAACAAGAAACAGCCATTAACATTGCATATGCCTGCAAACTGCTGGACCATGATGAGGAAGTCCTCACCCTGAATGCTGAATCCCAGGTATGTAGGTTTCCAGAAGCCATGCTCTGCCTGGGGCAGCTTCATACCCACCTAGCCCCCACAGCAACAGGAATGCCTTCCATTTCTTTGCCCTCTACCTCTGTGTTTGCACCTGTGTTGGGTTTCTTACATGTTCTTGTCATTGCCTAGGAAGATGTGGGATTTGATGGGATTTCTTAATTTCCGAGGGATGCATCCCTGGACTTTATTAATGCAAAATTCAACCTGCTTTTTCCTGACCTATTCATGTCAACAATATTGGAAAATTGTTTCATGAGGTCACACAAGTCAGCGAACCAGTCCATTCAGTATTGATGTACTCAGGATGGGATGGTTTGTCTGGGGCATGCCCGCTGGGCACTTAGAGTTTTCATCCAGTCACATTTATCTATTTAAATCTTCAAGTATGTAGGGAGTATCTACTTCTCATAAACCTGGCCTGGACTCTGATTCCTTGAGTGAACTCCCACTTGAAACATCTTTTTGAGCTGTATGATGAGGTCTGATTCATCAACTTTTTCTCTTATGGATTATCATTTAGCTGTTACATTTAAGATGTGCCTAGCCACAAAGATTTCTCCTATATATTGTTCCAAAAGTTTTGTAGTTGACTGTTGCACCTTTAGACGCCTTCCATTTTGTGTGGAATTTTGTATAAGGTCAAACTTCATTCTTCTGCATGTAGCTGACTAATGCAGCACCATTTGTTGAAAAGTTTTTTTCCACTAAATTGTCTTTACACTTTCATTTAAAATCAGTTGGTCATGATTTTTAGGGTCTATTTCTGGACATTCTGTTCTGTTGCACTGTCCTGTGTGTCTATCCCTTCACCAGTATCATGATGCCCTATGGGTTTTTTTTTTAGAAGTCTTTATACTGGTATTTTTTTTCCCTGATTATTCTTTCTGTTTTCAGTTCTTCCATTCCCTTTCCCCCCTTCCCTTGGTTTACTTAAAGTATCTTTTAGTATTCCATTTTTTTCTCTTTTTTTTTGGCATTTTATTTTTTTTATTAAGTTATGTTAATCACCATACATCATTATTTTTGATGTAGTGTTCCATGACTCATTGTTTGTGCATAACACTCAGTGCTCCATGCAGAACGTGCCATCTTTAATACCCATCACCAGGCTAACCCATCCAACTACCCCCCTCGCCTCTAGAACCCTCAGTTTGTTTTTCAGAGTCCATCGTCTCTCATGGTTTGTCTTCCCCTCCGATTTCCCCCCTTTCATTCTTCCCCTCCTGCTATCTTCTTTTTTTTTCTTTTCTTAACCTATATTGCATTATTTGTTTCAGAGGTACAGATCTGTGATTCAACAGTCTTGCACAATTCACAGCGCTCACCATAGCAATACCCTCCCCAATGTCTACCACCCAGCCACC